GGGGCAGGGGCAGGAATGGAAGCAGGGAGGCCAGCAAGCAGGCTGCCCCTCAATCCAGTGCTTGTTGGCTGAGCCCCCTCTGTGCTGGCTCTGGGGGCATCGAGAGGACTCAGCCCAGGATGAAGAGTCAGGCAAGTGAACAGAGAAGCAGGAAAGAGTGACAGGGATGTGAGGAGACAAGGTGTGCAGGACGTAGAGTGGGAAAGGCCACCCTACCATGGACGGGGGAATCAGGGAGGGCCTCCCTGAGTAGGGGATCCTTGGTTTATTTTTGAAAGATGAATTTGCTTTTGGGGATTTGAGGGAAGGAGTAAGACTCCCGGCAGGAGACACAAGGGCCTGAGCATGGAACAAAATTGTGGGAGGGCTAAGAGAACAGATTGGAGTTGGAAGGCCTGGGTCCCGTTTGTTCTCCCACCTACAGCTGGGTGACTTTGAGCTGTGTGCCTTGGTATGTCCTCATTGGTGCGATGGGTCTAATAATGGTAGCAATGCGATAATTCAGGTAAAAGCACTTGGAACGGTGACTGGCACAGAGCAAATATGCACCAGGTGATAATATTGTTAGTAGTTATTGAGGACCAAGCCAGGGAAATTAGACCTTATCTGGGGCAATGGGGAGCCCTGAGAGGGTTTTGAACAGGGACAGGACATGACCAGATCCACATATTAAGAAGGACAGTGGCAGGGGGAGGCTCAGAGGCCTAGGAAGTTATAAAGCAACCACAAAGATGCAGGGCAGGCTGTAGGCAGGCCTCCCTGGGCTGGGAGGGCCGAGGATGGGGGTTTTGGCCCAGGAGGGGCCCTGAGTGGGTGCTGGCTGATGGGGTGCTGTCTGTGGCAGAGCGGAGACAGCAGCCCAGAGAGCAGAGGTGCTGAAGGACTTCTCCCGCTCCTCATCCAGTGCCAGCAGCTTCGCCAGCGTAGTGGAGGAGACAGAGGGTGTGGATGGAGACGATACAGGCCTGGTGAGAGGCCCAGGGAGCGGAAGTGCCCCACGATGGGCTGGAATGGGGGCTCCTTGATGCCTGGAGACACCTCGGGTAGAAGCGTGAGCCTGGCTGTGGCTGAGATGCGATCAGGGGACCCAGCCTGAAGGAGTAATGCAGACCAACCCTCCCCTGCTCTGACCTTCCGTGCTGCCCGGCACCCCCACACAGAGCCCAGTCCCTGAGACCTTCAAAGTCCCTCCCTCCTTCCTCCCCGCTCAGCCTCATCTCTCACCATTCTAGTCATTCTGCCTCCCTTTGCAGTCCCCCAAACCTGCGAGGCTTACTCCACCTCTGGGCCTTTGCATGTGCCATTTTCTCTACTGGCTCCTCCTTCCCCTTTGTCTGAGTCCTACTCATCCTCCTTGGCTCAGCTTCATGCCACCTCCTTTTGGAAGCCCTCCCTGATTTCCTAGTCCCAGGGTAGGTTAGGAATCCCTCTTTATTTTCTCACAGACCCCTGGGCTTTGCCCTTAGCACCCTTTTGTCATTCATTCAGCGTACCTTCAGTGGGCACCTGTTCTTGGCAGGTCCTGTCCCACGTGCTGTAGGTGCAGCAGGGAACAGTGCAGACTGGGCCTTGCCCCATGGCCTAGAGTCTGGAATGATAATAGTCTCCTCACAGCCTGTCTAGCCGCCTGGGCGTTGGGGTCTCTGAAGGCAGGGACCATGCCCGATGTCTCCTGGTGGCTTGGCCGAGGAGAACGTCAGTGAACGTTTGNAAGTTATAAAGCAACCACAAAGATGCAGGGCAGGCTGTAGGCAGGCCTCCCTGGGCTGGGAGGGCCGAGGATGGGGGTTTTGGCCCAGGAGGGGCCCTGAGTGGGTGCTGGCTGATGGGGTGCTGTCTGTGGCAGAGCGGAGACAGCAGCCCAGAGAGCAGAGGTGCTGAAGGACTTCTCCCGCTCCTCATCCAGTGCCAGCAGCTTCGCCAGCGTAGTGGAGGAGACAGAGGGTGTGGATGGAGACGATACAGGCCTGGTGAGAGGCCCAGGGAGCGGAAGTGCCCCACGATGGGCTGGAATGGGGGCTCCTTGATGCCTGGAGACACCTCGGGTAGAAGCGTGAGCCTGGCTGTGGCTGAGATGCGATCAGGGGACCCAGCCTGAAGGAGTAATGCAGACCAACCCTCCCCTGCTCTGACCTTCCGTGCTGCCCGGCACCCCCACACAGAGCCCAGTCCCTGAGACCTTCAAAGTCCCTCCCTCCTTCCTCCCCGCTCAGCCTCATCTCTCACCATTCTAGTCATTCTGCCTCCCTTTGCAGTCCCCCAAACCTGCGAGGCTTACTCCACCTCTGGGCCTTTGCATGTGCCATTTTCTCTACTGGCTCCTCCTTCCCCTTTGTCTGAGTCCTACTCATCCTCCTTGGCTCAGCTTCATGCCACCTCCTTTTGGAAGCCCTCCCTGATTTCCTAGTCCCAGGGTAGGTTAGGAATCCCTCTTTATTTTCTCACAGACCCCTGGGCTTTGCCCTTAGCACCCTTTTGTCATTCATTCAGCGTACCTTCAGTGGGCACCTGTTCTTGGCAGGTCCTGTCCCACGTGCTGTAGGTGCAGCAGGGAACAGTGCAGACTGGGCCTTGCCCCATGGCCTAGAGTCTGGAATGATAATAGTCTCCTCACAGCCTGTCTAGCCGCCTGGGCGTTGGGGTCTCTGAAGGCAGGGACCATGCCCGATGTCTCCTGGTGGCTTGGCCGAGGAGAACGTCAGTGAACGTTTGTTGAATGAGTGAATGGGAGTGCGGTGTGTGCCCCTTCCCGCTCTGTCCTGTGGCCTCCCTGGAGCAGACGTGGCTGGCCCCCGTCCTCTGTGCAGGGAGGCAGGGGTGGCGGGCTGGATTGAAGCAGGGCACAGGTGGCTTGGAGGGGGCGGGCAGCCAAGCCAGTGCCGGGGCCAAGGGCTAACCTCCCTCCTGCTCCTCTGTCCCCAGGAGAGCATCTCGTCCTCAGGGACTCCTCATAAGCGGGACTCCTTCATCTACAGCACGTGGCTGGAGGACAGCGTCAGCACCACGAGTGGGGGCAGCTCCCCAGGTACCGGGCCAGGAGCAGCTTCCCCGCCAAGCAGGGCCATTCTTAGGGCGGGAGGGGCCAGGGAGAGCACAAAGGGTTGAGGCCACTTCTCATGCCCCAGGTGGTGGGTATGTAACAGGGGACAGTGGGTGGGTCATCACTGAGCCTAAGGTGATTGGGTGGCTTGGGGGGCTGCTGGCTTCTGGAAGGGTCTTAAAGGAAGATAGGAGGTAAAAAAGGGAGTTAGGGTGGGGTTCCCTGGGGGAGGGACTGGCGAGGTTGGGGAGCACCAACCAGTGCCGACCACCCATCCATGCCCGTCTCCCTGGTGCCTCCCCGCGGCCAGTGAGGTGGCTCCCTCCTGCCCCCCTCCCCAGGCCCCTCGAGGTCACCCCACCCAGACGCCGGCAAGTCGGGGGACCCTGCATGTCCCGAGATCAAGATCCAGCTGGAAGCAGCTGAGCAGCACACGTCACAGCTGGTATGTGCAGCCACGGGGGGAACCTGGGATGGGGACTTGACCGAGAGGTGCCCTTACGCCACACAGGGTTTGGCTCATCAGGCCTGGGCACAGCCAGTGACTTCTGCTTCCTGTGTCTTCTGTTCCATGTTGTCGTCTGTCCTGTCCTCTGCCTCGCCGCCATTCTCTGTGCAGGGCTGTTAGCCAGGCTCCCCTCAGAAGGAGACTGAGCAGGTCAGACCCAGTCCTCAGCTCTTGTTTGGTGGGGAGAGGGTGGGAGTGGAGAGGGGAGCGGACCAACTCCTCCCTGTTCCTCTGTCCCCTGTCAAGGCTGAGAGCTTTGTATCTGGGTTCAAATCCTCTGCCACTCAGATACTGAGTGACTTGGGTAGGTCATTGACCCTTCTCTGGGCCTCAGTTTCCTTATCTGTGCAATGGGGCTAACAAATGCTGCCTCACCTTTGCTCGCCAGTTGCTGGGAAGATTTGATGGAGCCTGAAAGGGACTTGGGAATCGCTGGGCGGGATGAGTCTGGGGGGTTCCCAGTGGAATGGTAAGGCCCAGAGCCTGGAACTTGGACTGTGGGCCCTGTCTCCCTGCTTCGTGGTGTCTCCATCTCCCTTTACCCTACAGATGAGGCCGAAGAAGCACAAGGTGAAGATGCTGTGTCACATCCAGGCAGATGGGACCTCTGTCCCCAAGGCCACCACCAGCCTGTGGGCTGCCCCCTGTCTCCCCAACCCTCCCCTTGGCCCACCATCTAGGCTGTCTCTGCAGGGCGGAGCCATTCAGACCTGGGAGTGGGGAAGCTGCTGGCATCATCCTCACCCCCCAACCCGGGGCCGGGGGGCCAGGCTGGGGCAGGGAGTGGTCAGTTGCAGCAGGACTCCAGGCCTGGCTTGCCCCAACCTGGGCCCCCTATCACACCTTGGTGCCCCTCTAGACTCAGGGGGAGCAAGATGGGAGGGGCACTGAGATATCTCAGTGCATACAGAGCCTCCAGGCAATGGGATGTGAGATGTGATGGAATGAGCCCTGGGCTGGGATGCCTGAGTCCTGGCTTCTACTTTGGGTCCTGCTGTGTGGCTCTGGGCTCTCTCTCTCTCTGGGCACCTCTGCTACAAATGGACAAGATTATTTCCAGAGTTACTGATGACTGTGATTCCATGCACCTGCCCTGGAATGGAGGATTGTCCTCCCAGGGGCCTCCCATCACCCTACCCTGCTTCTTGGGGGTCACAAGGCCCCAGGTGGGCCAAGGGGCAGGGAGCTGGCTATGCCCATTGCCCCTCCTGGACCCTCAAGCTCTACCACAGATCTGCCGATGCCCTGTCCACTGCCTCCACATGACAGACAAGTGGCTCCCTTGTGGGAGGGTGGGGACCCTACCTGGCTCCTCAGCCAGCACCCAGCTTCACTTCTGCCATCCCATGTTCTGGGGCTTCCAGGCTGAGGGGTCTCGGCTGGCCTGGAGTACAGGTCTCGCCTTTGCGACCCCCTCACTCCCATAGAGGGGGAAGCCAGGAATAGCTGCTGTGAGTCCACATCCTTGTGTGTGTCTGTCCACACTTTTTAGGTGCCACGCCAAAGGTCAGCCTTCCCTCCCCAACACCCATTTGGGAAGCCCCCGTGGCCATGTGTATGTCGGTAACAGTTGTACAAAATAAATTCTATTTATCGCTATTGTACCCCGAGATGGACCTGGCTTTGTGTGAACCCTGCCCAGATCAACCCCAGACAGGTCTCATGGGTACCAAGGTGGAGGGGAGGCCTGTCTCCCCGCCACCCCCCAGTCAGAGCGGCTTGGTCTGGGGCACCTCCAAGGCCAAATCACAGGCTCTATAGGCTCCAGCTGTGGCTTCCTCCCCATAACGCTGCTCTTCCCTCCACGCTGCCTCCTTCACAGGGGCAAGAACATGGCTCTGAATCGGGCTGACGCAGGTTTGAGCCCTGGCAGCATCTACTAGCTGGGTGGTGACACTGGGAGACTTACTAGCTTCTCTGAGCCGCAGTTTGCACTTTTGTAAGATGGGAGCAACCTTACCTCTCCCAAGGGTCTGTTGTGTGTTTGGCACGGTGGGTGCTCAATGATCGCTTCCTTCCCCTCATGTTCAGAGCAGCCCAAGAGTGTCCTCTATGTGGCCACCAGGGGGCGCAGAGGGATCACTGACCGGGACCTTTGAGGATGAATCTGTCCAGCTTGGGAGGAGCTCACTGTGCCCTCCAGTTCAATAAAGGCGGATGCGTGACTGGTGTGCAAGAGCAGGGGGCCCAGCCTTGGCGAGGGAGGCTGGGGAAGACTGGAGCAGTGGAGCCTGGGCATCCTAGAAAGGCTTAGGAAAGTGCCCCTGGGGGAGGGGACTGCGATGCAAAGACACGGAGAGGAGAGAGTGCTTGGAATTGGAAAGGTGGCAAACAGTTCTGAATGATGGGCTGGTAATGGCCGAGGGGACAGGGAGATGGGTAGAGATGAGCCACTTGGCTTGAATGCCAGCCCAAGGGGCTAGGGCTTTATGCGGAGGGCAACAGGGAGGCAGGAGGACCTGAAACAGGGCGTGCCCGTGGCAAGAGAACCGAGGACTGCCGGCGGGGACTGGCTGGACAGTGCCGGGGCAGGGAGGGGAAGACCAAGAAGGCTGTTGGGGACAGGGTGGCTAGGAGGACCCTGGGAGGTAGTAGGAGGCCCGAGCCTCTGGACGAAGGGCCTGACGGGATGTGGGGCTGAGGGAGGAGTCGAGGAGTCTCTCAAGGGTCTGGCCTGGACGTTGGGTGAATGGGGGGCGGTCTCTGAGGTAGGAGTGTGGGAGGAAGAGCAGGTTGAGGTGAGTTGGAAGATACTGGGCTTGGGGGTAGGCACAGAATTGGGTTTCAGTGGGATCCACCATGCCCTGGCCTTCCTACCCCCTCCTCGACACCAGCCCCCACACCCTCCCCAGAGCCATCCTGAGTGCACCCCAGCGGCTGCCGTGCTTTTCCTGACAGGGACCCTCTCTGACCCTCAGATGTCTGGGGCCACCCAGGGGCTGTGACTCACACCCAAACCCCAGCCCCACCCCCCTGAGTTTGGCTCTAGGCTGCCCTGGGCTGCCCTCCTAACTAACCCTCTCCCCTACTCAGCCTCACCCCTGCTCTCTAACCCTCACACCCCTTCCCAGGTCCCGGCTCTTCAGGACTCTGTGCTCAGTCCCTCACCTGTCTCCTCGAATCCCACCCCAAAGGGTCGGCAGCCACAGTTCAGCACCAAGGTCAGGAGCTTGGCTCAGGTCATTAACCTTCTAGCTCTGTTACTTTGGCCCTTTGGGCCTCGGTTTCCTCATCTGTGCAGTGGGAATGCTAATAGCCCTGACCTTTGTACTCTGGTGTGAGGATTCAGTGCGGTGACACTTCATAAAGTTCTTGGTGCAGCCCTGGCCCATGTGGGCTCCAAAATTAGTGTGTGTTGGGGTGGTGGTGGTGGTGATGAGCCAGGAATGAGGACCACATCCAGAACCCACATCAGAGGGTGTGGGGTTAGTGCTCAGCGTGGGGGATGGAGTACCTGGCGCTGGCCGGGCGCAGACATCCGACCTGAGGCTTTGGGGCTGGACGATTGTCAGGTGCTTCCCTGAGCCTCAGCTTCCCGGTTCTAGGGGGCGGTTGATGATCCTTTTATAAAAGAGCTCGGGCACCCCACTTATATTCCTTTCCTTTATGAGGTGCCCCACCCATGGCTCTGACCTACAGCCGAGCCAGAGCTCTGGGTCTGTTGTAGCAGATGCAGGGGCAGCTTGGCGAGCAGAACCTGCCTTTGGCCTAGGTTGTGCCAGTCCCCATCTGCAGGCCTCTGGACTGGGTTTGGTCCAGGCCCCCACCCCACCCAGCCCTCCTCTGGGCTCCAAGGTGGGGCTGGGGGAGGCTGAGGAAGAGCTTGGACTCTGGCATCAAAGTGTCCAGGGCTGTTTCTCTTGTTCCCATGCCAGCCCCGTACTCACCCTGGTTCTGAGGTGGGGAGGGCGAGCCAGGACACTGCCCGAGGCTGGAATTAGGGCTTGGGCGGGGGGCACCGGGTTCCGGGAAGTGCTGGACTCGCTTAGAAATAGCTCTGGTGGTGGAAACGGCAGCCAGAGGTTTCTCCAGACGCAGGAGGCAAGAGGCCTCCCGTGGAGGGACTTGGGTGCTTGGCTAACCTGGCACCTTCATCTCTGCCTAAGAGCTGGAACCTGTCCCTGCAGGTCTCCGTTTCCTCACCTGTAAAATGGGGACAAAGCCCTACCTATCCCTGTTAAGAGACTGTCATGGCCTCTAAAGTACCTGGCAGAGAACCCATGCCCAACAGGAGGGGTCCTCCCCTGTCCCCCAGCAGCTGAGTTGTCGCTGGACATCCATGGCTAACCCTGGGGCCACATTGCCAAAGAGACAGCCACAGGCGCAGGCCCGCCCAGTGCCAGGGGACTGTGACCTGGATGTTCTTTGCTGCCCAGGCCACAGGGGTGCTTGACCAGGGACCCTGGAATGTGGAGGTCCCTCCCTGTACCCGCCCTGCCAAGGGGACAGCCAGGGACGGAGCCTCCTGAAATAACCAGATCTGGTTAGTGAGGCTAATTTTAAAAGCCACTGGCTGCCCATGGGCCCTTCTGGGAAGCCATGAATGTCCTTGTGTTTGTCCCTGGGAGGCAGGGCAAGGGGAGAGCAGCAGGGGATGGGGAGGACACCCACCCCTGACCGCCAGTGCAGGAGACCCCAAGCTGCCTCGCAGGGCCTAGAGCCCCAGGGCCCTGCCTCTGCCCCAGTTCATTCAGGGCAAACCCCGGTGGGCTTCCTAAGCCCTCTGTCTCTCTCTGTCTCGGCTCTCTCTCCCATCTCAGTCCGCTCACTCTCCATGGCCCTTTATCTGTGTCTCTGCCTCTCAGTCTCTGACACTCACAGTCCCTCTCTGCAGCTGTGGCTCTGTCCCCCTCTCTCTGGGTCCACATACAGGAGGCCTGGCAGCATTCCCGACGGCCCACAGGCTGGACTATACGCACCAGGTAGGGGTGGGTGTCCGCCGGGAGCTAGGGTTGCAGGTAGGGCAGGGCCAGGGAGGACAGCAGTCCTGGGGACCAACAGGAGCTGCGACTGAGCAGGCAGGGGCCATGTCCAGGCACAGCCTGGGCCATCTGGTCAGGCCAGGTGACAGGAGAAGGAATGAGCTCCGGGGTAGAATTGCCAGATTTAGCAAATAGAAACACACGGAGCCCAGTTTAGCTTGAATTTCAGATAAACAAGGAATAATTTTTAGTTTAAGTGTACCTCATGTAATATTTGGGACATACTTAAACTAAAAATTATTCCTTGTTTATCTGAAATTCAAGTTTAACTGGCCATCCTATATTTGATCTGGCATGCTGTCCTGGGAGACTCTGGAGGAAGAGGAGAGGTTTGTCAGGAGCAGCAGGTTTTCTGGCCGCGGGAGCCTCAGTCTGGTGGCGAGGTCACAACCATGCCCTGGGGAAATCGGTCTGTGGGGGAGGCACAACTCCTGCCCACAGGGAGCTTTCGGTTTTCTGGGGGTGGGGACAGTTCCCCGGGAGCATGGACGGGCATATGACACACAGGCACTGGTCACTTCCTCAGTGGAACTGTAGGCATCAAGAGGGAGGGTCCAAGCGTGCTCTCTGCTGAGCCCCAGTGCCTAGCCCAGGGTCTGGCACATAATAGAGGCTTCATAAATATTTGTTCAATGAACGAAGAGCCTTCCCTACCCCTCCCTGCTGTGGTGAGGGGGGGCGCCTGGCAGCGGGGGCTCCAGCACTCTAGCTCCCAAGCTCCTTGGAAATAAGGGGAATATGCACTGCCTCCACCCCAGGAGCTCCCCAAAGTGAGCTGCCCAGGGGAGGGGAGGGGAGGGGAGGGGCAGAGGGGATGAAGAGAGGGGGCCAGTTTTTCCCTTATCCCACTCCTGCCCAGACCCCAGTGCCAACTTGGAGTTCTGCCTGGGCAAGGGTGCAGGTAGGGTGGGGGTTAGGGCACGGCGACCTCCGGCTCCTGACATTGGGAGATTGGTTGGGACTAAGGTGGGGGGGGACAGGCCAAAGACATGTTCTCAGTGCCCCTTGGGGGGCATTTGGACAGCCAGAGGGATTCCCAAGGCCCAGAAAGTGGGGGATCCTTGTTTGGGGGGGATGAAATGGGCCTTTTCCTGTGGTCTCCCTGGAGAGGTTAACAGGGNCTGGTCACTTCCTCAGTGGAACTGTAGGCATCAAGAGGGAGGGTCCAAGCGTGCTCTCTGCTGAGCCCCAGTGCCTAGCCCAGGGTCTGGCACATAATAGAGGCTTCATAAATATTTGTTCAATGAACGAAGAGCCTTCCCTACCCCTCCCTGCTGTGGTGAGGGGGGGCGCCTGGCAGCGGGGGCTCCAGCACTCTAGCTCCCAAGCTCCTTGGAAATAAGGGGAATATGCACTGCCTCCACCCCAGGAGCTCCCCAAAGTGAGCTGCCCAGGGGAGGGGAGGGGAGGGGAGGGGCAGAGGGGATGAAGAGAGGGGGCCAGTTTTTCCCTTATCCCACTCCTGCCCAGACCCCAGTGCCAACTTGGAGTTCTGCCTGGGCAAGGGTGCAGGTAGGGTGGGGGTTAGGGCACGGCGACCTCCGGCTCCTGACATTGGGAGATTGGTTGGGACTAAGGTGGGGGGGGACAGGCCAAAGACATGTTCTCAGTGCCCCTTGGGGGGC